ACTATATCCAACATAAATATCAAAGAAATCAGATCTACGTTTCATAAGATAAACCCATGTATATCGAGTATAATAATCTATAAAAGATACATAATAGATTGACCCACCCTTTGTGGATACTGGTGCATGACCCCATACATCAGAATGGATAATGTCAAAAGGAGCAGTAGAACAAGACATACTTTTATTGAAAGGTAAAGCAGAGAATTTTGCCAGTTTACAACCACTACAATTAGAAATATCACAAGTGTCTAAATGACCCAAAACACCACTAGATGCTAAAAAACTTAAACGTGATACAGATACATGTCCCAAACGAGAATGCCAAAGATAAAACTTAGACGACAAAGGACTCAAACGGAAAGAAGATAAATCAATGATAGAGGAAGCAACAGCAGATACTTTGAGAACCTCCAAGACATATAGTTCCCCCACCCTACGACCGATCCTAATTACCTTCTGGGTGTGTTGATCCTGTATAACACAGACAAAATCAGAAAAGAACACCCAATTACCAGACTTACATAACTGGCTGACTGAGGCAAGATTCAAAGTAAGTTTGGGAATGTAATAAACATCAGGGAGAGTGATATGAGAAATAGAGACAGACCCAACACCCTCAACTAGCATAGATGTATCACTAGCAGACTTAATAGAAATAGATGACACTTGCGACAAAGAAGTAAATGATGACAAATGAAGAGTCATATGATGGGTTGCACCAGAATCTAAAATCCACAAAGATGAGGGAATACCTGATGTACCAGATGAAGTAGGACCAGAATGAGACATAGATGCAGACATGGCAGTGGGATTAGAGGCCAAATATTGTCTGAAACTCTCAAACACCTTGGGATCCAATGCAAATGGTGGCATGTTCCTAACAGAATCTGTATCAACTGGTGGTATAGCAGCAACAACAAACTATGGAGGACGAGGGGTCCATGGAGGAGTACCAGAGGAACGTGGCTGAAACTTCTGTTGACCAGACCTATTTTGTTGTCCTGACTGATGTTGACCAGATTTACCCTTGTTGACTAATAATGGACACTGAGCTTTCCAATGATTTTTCTGTTTGCAGAATGCACACTCATCATAAGCAACCCTTGAAGTTTGTCGAGACTGATTAGAGGAAACAACAAGCACATCAGGAGCGGGAGTAGGAATAGAGGTTGCTTTAAACCCTTTATCTGCATGAGACTTGATACGAGTCTCTTCTGCAATTAACTCATGGACAACAGAATCAACTGAGGGAAGAGGAGAGCGATGAAGAATTTTTCCACGTAGACCTTCAAAATCAGACCGCAAGGTCATCAAGAACTGGACCAAGCGTTGTTCTTCCCTCCTAGCAATGTAAGGCTCAAAGTCTTTTAACTCTTTAGATTCAGTAAGAGCCAATTGATCCCACAGATCAGACATAGCAGCATAGAAATTTTGAATGCTCTGTTCGTTTTGTTGAAGAGCACGAATACCATATTCCAACTGGTATTGTTTAGCAAAGTTAGACTGAGTATACAGCCTTTCCAAGTGATTCCAAACTTCCTTTGCTGTGTCATATTTAGCTAACTGCATACTAATAGACTGAGTGACAGAGTTATTAATCCAAGTAATTACCTTGGAGTTATCAGTCTCCCAAGCATCAAGTAACAAATCAAAATTCTCAGTTTGAGGTATTGTGGGTTTGGCTTTAGTCCCAGTGACATAACCCCACATATTCTTCCCACAAAGGAAGCTCTTCATAACATAACTCCAATACGTATAATTCTTTCCATCCAAACGAGTACTGATTGACAGAAGGGAATCATCATTTCCAGTCATGTTGACACTGAATAAATAATCACAATGACAGTGTAGCAATCTGAGAATGAGAGGAGTAACAAACCAACAGAAGCAATCAACCAGACAACAAGAAATCGAACAACAACAACGAATCAACAGCAACAGCAAATGAAATTCACCAACAAAAAACACATCAACAACGAATACCAGCAACAACAAATCAACAACAACCAACAACGAATACCATCTGCTACAGTAACCCTAGAAAACATAGTCATATGATTATAATTAAGAGAAATTACAAGGGTTCTCAATGAAAGGCATAAAGACTACAAAAAATAAAGCGGATATAAATACTAGCTAGACAAAACCCTAATGGGCTAAAGACTAAAGAGCTCATAAACAAGTGGACTAATAATATATAGGCTAACAGATGCAACAAGTATGTTAACCATTATGTGAGGACATGCACAGTCAGAATTGCACGAGAAAGTCATAAAAATGTGTTTTTTTTAGTTAATTCATTTAACATTAAGACTTATGGTATATGGTTACCATATTTTTAATTGGTATTCGTTAAATGATTTATCAACCTCAACCTTCTTTTAATGTTTCAACATACTCTTTTTTTCCTTTACTTCATGTTTTTTATCCTCAAAATCAGATTCAGACCCGAATATTGAATTGTTAGCTTTAGCTTTGCAACATCGATCTGATTTCCTTGTTCATAAATCTTGTTCGTTAGAACAATTCAAAATTATAATCATTAAATAAATGCATTTGATAAACAATAGCTACTATAATGTAAATAAACAATTACATCTCTCACAGTAAATAACTACACAATGAGGGCCATTGACTAAGCATTATCAAAACAATTCTTTGTCCTCTTTTCACGTTGTATCTAAACATAACTTGAATATGATTGATTTGAGCTCTGATTTAAACTTGTTACAATAAAAAATGTTAATATAAATCAGTAGTGAATTTTAAAATGAATTGAAACTTGTAATGTACATATGTTTGAATTGCTATTAGAGATTGAACCTTCTGTTTTCTTTGCTTTCTTGTTGGGTCCTGCTTGTTTTGTAGTGATTCAGAGTCTTCAATTGAGATATTAATTAAAACACGATTCGAAGAGTCCTTGGTGAACTTGCTAAAAGTTGTTTTCTTAAAAATCCACTCACTTTTCTTTCTTACTACAATAATATAATAAAAATAATCACATATAAAGTCATAAAAAGGTTCACCATTAGAAACAAATTAAGCATATAGGCATAATCACATATAAAATCATATGTTTGAATCAATCATGATTTTGATTATAAAAATACAAAGCATAGAATGATATTCTATTATAGGTTGAATCAATCATGATTATGCAGTTGAAAATAAATATAACAAGCAAAATATGCAATATACAAGTAACCTTAATCATTCTTGAATATTAAAATGAACATAAAAACAAACATAAAAAATATGAAAAATACAATAGTGTTTATCGAGAAGATTTGTTGTATACTGCATATTGGGATTCCAATCGTCCACTCTACCAAAACTACTAGTGTCTTTTTTTGGTTAAGTTGAAAAATGAAGAATGTGGGTTTGTTGTTTCCGAACAGAAAGGGTAAAGAATGTAGTGACTATGTATATAGCTTTTGGTAAGTGTCTTTACTCAAAATCATAACTGATTGACCTAATTTTGATTATCGACTATACATGAACATATCGACTTCATTTATTGTTTAACATTTCATTTGATTAAAGAAAAATATGCACGTAATTTTATTTTTCTTTAAGAAGTTGATTAAATCGTATTTTACCCTTTGTAATAATCGATTATGTCACTATAAAGAGGGAAACTTAAAACAAAAGCAAAATATTTAGAGTGTCGTATCTCTTCCTGTCGACTTCGACATTAACAGTCTTTTAGGTGAAGAAGAGTCGATGATTAATCACGTTTCATCTCAGCAACTTTGACTCACAAACGACGATGTATTGTTCTTCAATGAATTTGCTCCATTTTCTTCAATGTGTTTGCTTCTGATTCTTCGATTCCTACGGTGATCATAAACGAGAAAATGGGTTTTATGTTGGACAGATGAAATCTAAGATATTTTTAAAAGATATAAAATCACCGATAATTTGGGGAGAGTATACAGGGATTGCTTTATTTAATTGAAGATATATGGTAATTTATAATTAATAGGATCTTAATTATGGATTATGTAACTTCCTAAAATACATTTTCTGGGATTTTTATACCATTTTCTAATTTTATTTGATTTTTAATTAACCCGAAAATAGCCTATTTATCAGCCGTAGATCTTAAATTTTCAATGGTCCATAGATCTTAACTGTAATGGTTTCTTAAACATGTTAACAGTAGCGCCGGAGATTGGGTAAATCGTGGTATATATTTTGGTTGCGACACATCAAGTGCCTTCAAAGGTATGTCTTTCTGTGAATACACGTTTTCGGTGGGGAATTGAAATTCTGTTAGTTTGATTTGCCAAAACAAACGGAATAGAAAATAGAATACATAAATCCTGGGTTTCAAACCTATACAGAAAACTTTTGAAGACTGCAAATAGATATTCCTGATTTGTTAGGAGTACGTTTTTTATTTGATTTTCGATCTTTCTGCTTTATACTCGTAAGTCGTAAGTATATTTCATATTTTTTGTTAATATAGTTTGGCAAACTGAAAATAGGAGTGTCTTCATGTAATATTGGAATAACCATTCTGTAACACTGACAAATGCATGGAAGATAGTTTTTTTTTTCTTCTTCAATGATTGGCTCCTCTTTCTTACCTTGCCTTGATGTCAAAACCATTGCTAGGGTAGCCTGTTAACTTCTTATTTAATTGAATTCGAGGTGATCATGTAATTGAACATGTTTCTCTTACGTTCTTCTTCGTTGATGCAATGATCATTGGCTTATAATATAGCTAGTAGTAATAATAAAAGATTTTGTTTCAAGGATGAGAAGTGTCAAAACATTAAGTAGAAGGACCTGTTTTACCACGTGTTGAATATAGTTAAAATCTGGGTTTGGATTACGACGTGGATTTGGATTGTTACGACGCTAACCGAGAATCACGTCGCAGATCATACAATAAACGGTGACTTGACCCATACGCAACCGTTTTTCCTCTCCGGAGCAAAACCAAAATCTAATTTAGAAAACACGGTCAGGGGAAATAGCAGCAAAAGTAAATGCCGAAGTCAGTTAGTTGTTTGAAGGCGAAGGTAATTCTTCTAAATAATCAGTGCATTAGTAATCTCTTGAATGACGTTATCAAACTATTACATGCTCTCAAAATTGAAATTGCAAAATTCCCTGCTTTGATTGCATAATGAGAAATCTTGGAATTTGTACAAGGAAACCTTTCAGTATACCAAATAACAAACCCTACATGTTTCGTAACATCTTTTGGTGTTATTAGGCATTCAATAATATATTTCATACAAATTATAAATTTACAGCCCAGAAAGAAGCGCATCAGTCGTAAGAACATGGCTAGCAGTTCAACGGCTGCTATGAACCACGTTATAGATGTAGATAAAATTATAGATGTAGAAGAAGATTCCTACTTCTCAGATCTGCATGGAAACGTGGATGCCCAGGAACTACAACTTCAAGAGGCCCTAATATCTTCAGCATCCAAAAGTAATGCATCATCATCATCATCACAAAAAGTTACATCGTCATCATCAATTCCTGCAACTTCCCCACCTCCAAATAAATTAAAGAGGAAGCAGCCAATGGTGAAAGCTGAAGAAGCCACATTACACGAGCGCATTTGTGGCATTTGCATGGACACAAAAGCTCTACCAGAAATCTTTTCAAATGCAAAGGTCTGGGGCCATCTGTTCTGCTCTGATTGCATAAGCCAATATGTATCTGTGAAGATTAAAGAAAACATCGCGAAGGTGAAGTGTCCTGACCCAACGTGCAAAGGGATAATAGGACCTGAAGTTTGTCGAGATATAGTGCCAAAAGAAGTTCTTGAAAGATGGGAGGATGCTTTATGCGAGTCCATGATCCTGGCTACTCAGAAATTCTACTGCCCGTTTAAAGATTGTTCAGCCATGTTGGTGGATGATAGCGGAGAAACTGTGACATCTTCTGAATGCCCAAACTGCAACAGATTGTTCTGTGCGCAGTGTAAGGTGGCATGGCATTCAGGGATGGATTGCAAAGAGTTTAAGAGCCTAAAGAAGGATGAGAGAAATCCAGAGGATCTAATGTTGATGCAGCTTGCCAAGAACAAAAAATGGAAGAGATGCCCAAGCTGCAACTTTTATGTGGAAAAACAAATCGGTTGTCATCGCATTTCTTGCAGGTTAATTAATATATTATGGATTTTGCTTTTTGTTTCCATTGAATAAGATTGATTATCAGGTTACTGATCATCACTGGTCTCTTAATTGTTGCAGATGTGGGAATCATTTTTGTTATGGATGTGGAAAGAAGCACGTTGGAAGCTATGCTTGTAATATTTGATTTGCGCGTGGAATTTGTGATTTATTTCTCATTTTAAACCATAACTAAACTGATATACATTCTATTTGCACATTCTTGCTTTTTAATTTTAACCATATTGCATCTACGAAGCAGAAACGTAAGAGGAAACATGTTCAATTACATGAATCACACATTGGATTTAGGGGGTTTGAGCTTATTTTTTAAGGTTTTTTAGCTTTGGGCTTATGAAAAAATTAGTGTTTGGGTTAGCTAATTAGATTAAAATGGCTTTTGTGTAAGCTTATTTTTTTGGGCTTAAGCTTTTACTGAGTTTAAGAGCATATAAAATAAAAAAGTATTTGGATTAGCTTAGGGATGAGTTATAAAACCAGAAAACCGGACCGGAACCGGAATCGGACTGGAACCGGTATAACCGGAAAATGCTTAAATGGTCCCGGTATTGGGTTCCAAAATTACTCTTATCCGGGTTTTAGGTATTTCGGGTACGGGTCCAACGGGTCCGGATAATCCGGGTTTTTGAACCGGATATGTGGTAAATAACCGGAACCGGGTTTAGTGGGCCAAGGAACCGGTTTAGTGTCCAAGGAACCAGTATAGGGTCAAAGAACCGGAACTGAAGGAACTGAAGGGTTATCTGTTGTGATCGACATTCGACAACTCTCTTTTCTCTTTGCTTGACGACTCTCTTTTCTCTGCTCGACATCGGAAAGATCCTCTGTTGTGATAATCATCAAATACATTCAATCTCGTTTTTTTTTTGCCCTTCTCTGTGATCGACGCAACGACTCTCGTTTTTTTGGCCCTTCTCTGCGATCGACGACAACAACAGTTCTCCTCTGTGTGATCAACAACATTCATCTCGTTTTATTTTTTCTTCCATTCATTCCCAATTGAACTTCAAATCAATCTCCTACACTCAATTAAAGAACAATGGTGGACAATTGGATAGATAACAATGAAGATACATAAGTAAGCTGTCAAGAATTTTGATTTCATATGTTATGAAGTTTGTGTTTTTCTATTGTGTTTCAAGATTAATGTTAACATTCAAATATTATGTTATGTAATGAAATCAACTATTGTGATATTTGTGTTTCAATCACAGCCTTGTCCAGGAATGTGAAATGTTAAAAGGGAAAAATGGTTATTTCATCTCATTCAAATGAATTAAGTTCCAATCTTGATTTTGTGCATAAAAGTCACAGTTTGACCTTTTTGGTCAAAGTCAAAATGCAACTTCTCTTTCTTGAATCCTTAGAAAAGAAGAAAAAGTAGAAGAAACACGTTACATATATGCTTATCGGTGGGCAACTAACGAAAGAGATCCTTAGATGGCCTAATACTTTCAATGTCATTTTACCTTTTTTTCTTTAAAGAATCCCATTTAGAATATTCTTGATTCCAAAACAATAATATAAAGAAAAAAGAACACTAACTTGGTTTTTAATTTTTCAAAAATATGTTATTGTTTTTTAAATAAAGAGACTCCATCAGCCTATTTATTTTTTACTTAATAGACATAATCCAGTAGAGTATTTTATATAAGTGTCCACTGGACTATTTACTTAATAGACATAATCTTAATTGTCATGTATTGTAGGTCAAATTTATGAATCAAGTTCTGTTAATTTTTGTGGTTCAAGTATGGATGAGACTTAATTGTCATGTATTGTAGGTCAAGTTTATGAATTAAGTTGTGTTATTGTATTTTTATTGTGTTTTTATTGTTATCTATTGTAGCTTGACGATGATGCGGTGTTTGTTGACAACATTCAATAAGAAATCAACGAGGAACCAACACAAAAGAGAAAAAGAGTAGGGAAAACAAGGGCCGATTGTTGGAAATCGTTTGAGAAGATTTTTATTGATGGAGTTCGCCATGGAAAGTGCAAATGGTGCGAGAGGGTTCTCAAATCCGACGGAAATAATACCGGTACATCTAGCATAAATAAGCATGTGAAAAATTATAAGCAAAACCCCGACAATTTGAAAAACCAACCAACATTACAATTTAAAAAAGAACCATCGGGGGAGGGTAGTGTAAGCACTTGGAAACATGACGACAAACGAATTAAAAAGGATATGTTGAATTTGTTTGTAGTGGGTGGTCTACCTTTTAATTTTGTAGAAAATGAGGCATTTATTGAATACACAAATGCACTAAACGGGAAGGTGGTTGTACCTTGTCGAACAAAAATTTCAAAAAATGTGTCACTTTATTATCTAGAAGAAAAACAAAAGTTGGTAACATTCTTATGTAATCCCCTTAACACGGTTCATTTGACCACCGATTGTTGGACAAGTCCGAGTAAAAGGGTGCATTATATTGTCATTACCGCACACTTTATTGATGATAATTGGGAGATGCACAAACAAATAATCAACTTTAAAGAATTAGATAGTCAACGGGGGGAAGATATCGGGCAAGAAGTGTTGAAATGTATTCAAGGGTGGGGTATCAAGAATGTCATGACTTGCACGGTTGATAATGCAAGTTCTAATGACAAGGCAATAGAATTTCTAAAAACCAAATTACCAAACTTGTACAATGATGGAAAACACTTTCACATTAGGTGTATGGCACACATTATCAATCTAATTGTGAAAGATGGGATGAATAAAAACGACGAGAGTGTTAAATGTTTGCAAAATGCGGTAAGATATGTTAGAAAGTCCACACAAAGGATTTCCCTATTTAAAAAGTGCATGAAAGTCGTAGGGGTGGAATCAACCAAGTTTTTATGCAACGATTGTCTCACTCGTTGGAACTCAACCTACGACTTATTGAAGATCGCGGTGGATTTAGAAAAAGCTTTCTACGAGTATGAAA